TTTGGGAATAGAACCAGTGATCAGACAAAAACCTGTGGCCTGGGATGGGGATGTAGCTCAGTGGTAGAGCTGTGGTCGGTCACTCACGAGGCCCTGAGTTCTATCCCCAGCACCACAAAAGCAAAACAACAATAATACCCACCCATGACTGCATTCATTCATTCATTTGTTCACCAAATATTTAGTAGTGAGAACCAGCAATGAATGAACCAGGTGAGGTCTCCTCTTGCCTAGAGCTGTCATGCTGGTGGAAGAGACAGCAATAAGTCAGTTAAAAAACAAATGAGATAACTTCCAATTAAAAAACAAACAAGAAAACAAACAAACTCTCAGGGAGTTGGCAGGACTTTGGGGATGGTGGCCAGGACAGTTTATCTGAGCTGGGGCCTGAGGAACAGGAAGGAGATGACCTTGGGAGGGTTTGGGGGGTGGTCCCCACAGGGAATGTGACAGAACATAAAGAAGGCCAGTTCAGGGGGAATAAGCCTTTGCAGAACACACTGAGGACTTTTTTTTTTTTTTTAGTTGTAGATGGACCTTTATTTTATTTATTTATATGTGATTCTGAGAATCAAACCCAGGGCCTCACACATACTAGGCAAGCACTCTGCCACTGAGCTACAACCCCTGCCCCACACTGAGGACTTTTATTTTTACTCTGAGTGAGGTGGGAGCCCATGGGAATGCTAGAGAGGGTTTGAACATAGTCGGGCCTGGGGGTCTGCAGAAGCAGAAGCCAGGGTAGAAGCTGATACTGGGGAAGAAGCAAGAGACGATGTGGAAGCTTGGACATATACAGCTCAATATATTCTCACAAAGTGAGTGTATACCTTATAATGAACATTCAGATTAAGAAACAAAAAACTTGGGGCTGGGGTTGTGGCTCGGTGGCAGAGCGCTTGCCTAGCATGTGTGAGGCCCTGGGTTCAATTCTCAGCACCGCATATAAATAAATAAAATAAAGAACCATTGACAACTAAAAATATATATTAAAAAAGAAAAAAGAAACTTGCACTGCCTGTTTTACTCTTCTCTCTTCTATTCCTCTCCTTACCCCAACCT